TTTTTTTTTTTTTAAAAAAGATCATTTAGAGAAGCAGCACTTACTGATTGGGATGGACAAAACAGAGTTCCTTGTGGCAAAACTTGTATGTGAATGTATTTTTTATTTTTTAATCATTTTTTAATATATGTGGGTCACTATGGAAGACAGTTCAAAAAAGAGTTTTCTTTTTCTAAATATTGCATTGGTGGTTTCATCTCTTTTCAGGTTCTGTCAATTTTTCTTAAATTGGTAAAAACCTACATAGTTTATATGTTTAATTTACATACCGTATATGTCTGTGGTAAACAAAATGATAAACTCTTAGCAGAAATTCACTAAAGGAATATTACAACTATTTTCTGAATAGACTATACTTTAAAATTTAATATAGCAACATACATTTATTGCAAAAATCGATTAATGCATGAACATGTAGTTAACTCCACAGTGTGACTTTAACAGTTAAAGGCTGAAAACAAAAGAAGAAAACATCGGATATGTTTATTTTTTCTCAGAATCTTGCAACAAACTTACCAAAACACACACACACACACACACACACACACACACCAACCTCAAACAACAGAAAAATGGCTCATTCTCTACCTACTTCTCTCCCTGCATCCCACTGCGACTACCAACAGGCTTAAATATTTTAAGTACTTTTACATTTTTATATGACACAGGAATTGAGGAAAAACTCAATATCCCTGCAAGTATACTTAAAATACTGTTTTAGAACAATTAATCCGCTTGGTTGTACAAAGTGGAAGCCAGGTGCTAGAAGTGTCTTGCACTCCAGGCATCGAAGAAGTGGGAAGTGTCAAGGATTACAAGCATGTCCCCACCTAAGAGAAAAACCCAGGAAGGAGAAGAATGGGTTTAGAGTTCCAAGTGGAGATGAAGCACTCACATCCTTCGCTGTGTAGGTGGGAAGCTTGGGAGAGGGAGCCGAGCTGCAGATACAGATATGGGGCCGCTGGTGGCAGTAATTGAAGCCGTGGCTGTGGATAATGATCTCGAGGGAATGTGGAAAAAGAAAAGTGATGCAGAAAGTGGAGAAGGACGGCAATCTGGGGGCCCCTGCACACAAAGGAGATCAATAGGTTGTCAGCTAACAGTGGTGGCATGTGGTCCCGTGCTCCTCACGGCATGCTTGTTGCTCCCCTGTTAGCTCATTGGGCTGAGGTTGCCATGGAGGTGCCCTGTGGACAGCGGTGAACCCTAAATCCTGGCGATGCTTTCGGCAACTCAGAGAAAGCAAGGGGATGAAACCAGGGAGAATCCTTTGGGGGCCAGATCATGAGCTCATGTCTCTGACATCTCCTTTTCAATCTGGAAAGTTAAGGTTTTGTTGCACAGTGAACTTTACAGAACAGAGCATTTCTGTGGATTTCCCGAAACTGTTTAGCAGAATCGGGCACAAGTGCAAGTCCCGGTCCCAGCAATCGACCGCACCTTCCTTTCTGAGGTGTGAAGTGCACATCTGTAAACAAGAGTGAAATGACCCCAGTGTGTTTTAACAGACAGCCTTGCCTTCAAGGATTATTAGATTTCAAAGCCAAAAAAAGACAAAAACAAACAAAAAACCCAAGACGATATCCTTTGCATGGATCAGACGAAGAGAAATTGAGTTGTAATTTGGGATTCATTCACAAGAAAAGGTCTGGAAGGTTTTCACATGAATAGGACGGTAAGAGTCAGGAACAGCCAGGCTCTGTGCCCAGCTCCGTCTCTCTGACCTGCTGGAGGACTCCAGTTTTCAGGCTACAGTAGTTGCAATCTCCACATCAAGCAATGTGAGGTTTTCAAACCTTTAGAAGGGTTCAGTGTTTCTGGGTAAGCCAGTGACTCCGCACAGGATATGTGCTTGCACCCGGTTTGGGCCAAGCAGTGTTAATAATCCACCGACAAAAAAATACTCAATTCTGTAAAGCTAATTGCAAAACAAAACTTCAACTTCTCCAGATGGAAAATGGGGGATAGGCAAATACATTGAAGAAAAGAAACATATTGTTTCCTGCATTGTGGCCCTGCTGCCTTAGCACAGTTATATGAATATTATGTGTGTGCAGTAAACATTTATGACCATATTTAGGTCCAAGCAGCATGTGGGATTTTGTGTCAGTAGTTGCTGATGAGTACCACAAATAGGAATCCTTTATATCTGTGGTATCCATAGTAACTAAGTAGGGCTCATTTCCATTGTGCTTATTAGCTTCCAACCTGCTGGCCATGCTTAGACTCTGTGGGCTCCAGGAATCCTAATTCATATAACACCCCGGAGAGGTGGGTAAGTGCTTTTCAGAAAAGCAAACTCAAGCAAGGGATTTTAAGAGATTTGAAGAACGCCACATAGCAGCCAAGATGTTAATTTTTGGACTCACCTGTTAATTTAATTGAGTAGTGTTGTAGAGACAAAATTACATATTCAGAAACAGAATTACGATTATTAGGCAAATAATAGCATTTTCTTGCACCTCTTTGAAATCTTCTGTTATGCTGCTGGCTCCATTGTTGGCTGTTTTATAGGTAGCACACATTTACCTTGTCTTTAGCAGAGATTGCTTGATTTGCTATTAATGGTCATGGTGTTTTGTGTTTTTTTTAAAGATTTTATTTATTTTTTAGAGAGCGAGCGAGAGAGAAACAGCCTGAGAGGGGAGAGGGTCAGAGGGAGAAGCAGGCTCCCTGCTGAGCCAGGAGCCCGATGTGGGACTCGATCCCAGGACCCTGGGATCATGACCTGAGCCGAAGGCAGACGCTTAAGCATCTGAGCCACCCAGGTGCCCCATGGTGTTTTTTAATACAGGGAAATATTTAGCATACTAGCAAAATGGTCTAAATTAATGACAGTAACATTAATATTATAATATTAATATATCTTCTTTCTTCCTAGGACACATTACAAATGATTCTATAGTATTTATATTAAACAGATTTTCCTTTAGTTTGCACATGCAATGGTCACTTGAACATCAGCATAAAAATTGTCAGTGGCCTATATTCCGTGGTTTATTTGATTGCGACTAGAAATATTATGATCTGTTTTTATTCACATCAGCTCTTTTGCACATTATTTTTGTTTGATTTCACAAGGGCGAACTTTTTTTTTTTTTAAAGATTTTATTTATTTATTTGACAGAGAGAGACACAGCGAGAGAGGGAACACAAGCAGGGGGAATGGGAGAGGGAGAAGCAGGCTTCCTGCGGAGCAGGGAGCCCGATGCGGGGCTCGATCCCAGGACCCTGGGATTATGACCTGAGCTGAAGGCAGACGCTTAACGACTGAGCCACCCAGGCGCCCAAGGGCGAACTTTTTATATTGCATGTTTATGGGTAGATTTGAGAGCATTCTATAATATTTAAATCCCATATGCCCTAAAAATATTACAGCTGTTGTTTTAAAATAATTATTATATTAAATTTAAACCTAAGTTAGTCTTCAGACTCTCTGGAGTTTTCAAATTTGAATGGAATCGAATATGGCATGCACTAGAGGGGCGTTTTTCCATTTCTCTTTTGCCAAGATAGGAAGACATTCATTCTAAGCCTCTGTGTCCTCATCTATTTGTCACTAATATTAGCTACTGGCTGAAATGGAGAATCAAAACCTGTAAACTCTAGGGATCCCACCAAATATGTAATTCCTCTGTGTCCACGGAGGATAGACCTCTCTATTGGAGAGGAAAACAGTATACAAATGTAGGCGGAAGAACGGAAACTGAGACTTGCCCGTAAGGAGACCTGTATCTTCACTTGCTGATGTTTCTTGTGTTTGTACTAATGCTGGGTAGGCACCATGCTAGTTACTGAGATTCGCTGGTGAGCAGTTCAAAGCCTCTGCTCTCACGGATCCTACATTCTAGAGAGGTATTATGAACAATCGTCTAGTTCCTCAAAAATAAAGATGACAATTTCCAAAAATGATAAGAGTTATGAATAAAAGTGAACCAAGTTAACATAATAGAGAATATCGGAGCAGGGGAGGCTGTGTTAGATTGGACCGTCTGGGTAGGTATCATGAAGGAGTTGCTGTCTGAATTTCGAGTCCGGAATGACAAGATGGATCCAGCCTTGCAGCTGGTAGATCTGTTGGCCAGCATTAACAGCTGATGGGAGGAGGGAGTTAGGAGAGGCTAAGAGAGCATTCAACTTTATTTTTATCCCCTGGGTTATGAAAAACCTGACAAGGCAGAACACCCAAGGATGTGTTGCAAGTATCAGAAGAGGCAAGTAAAAAGCGAGAGGATTTATTATATCTATTCTGGTGATACCTGTGTGACTATATGTAAGCTTCAAGGTGAAATGAATATTACCCACCTTTTGTTCTTTAGCACAGATTTAAGAAAACCATTAAAGCAGTCATTAATGAAAATAGTCATTCTTCTTTTTAGCAGTGCTAACTTAAAAAAAAATCACTTAGCTGAGATGTAAAGCCAACATGTATCAACACTGCTTGGCATTGTGCCTTCTTTACCCATCTGAGTCAAATTGCTCTTTCTATTGCTGCTTTCTCTGTAGAAATGGGGGGAGGGGAGGGATGGAGGAGGAGAAATCAGTTCTGGTTTTCTGGCTTCTAAACACTGCAGAAAAATACAGTAGAGGAGAAAGTAGAGAGTTTCTGAAGAAAGAGGCAGAAGTAGGCACTTGAGACTCCTTAGTTGTGGATTAAATTACTGTCTCATGCAATAACTAAAAAAGTTGATGCTATGAGTTGAGGACCTGCCATTGTTAACTGGGGCTCCTGAACGTAGTTAATGTCACAGACGGTGAAAGCAGCCCCTTGTCCTGTTTTTATGATGAGCAGAAGTCTGAATTTTCTTCTAACTTTTGCTCTGTTGAGAACATCTTTGTTTTGGGGCACAAAGGCAGCATGAAAATCTGGAGACCTTCTCAAGAAGGGGAACCTCCATGAACTTGATCTGTTACAGGGAGAGCCAGGAATCCACACATTTGGAGTGGTATCTGAGCAGGAGGCATCCGAATTGGCTGTGTGAGTGTTTATTATATTTAAGCTACAGAACTAATTACTGTGAAAAGACACAAAGGAAAGAGAAAACCAAAACCCTCTCCTCACGATTCTGGCAAGTCGGTTGGACTGAGCACACAGGAATCAATGAAAGAGCATTTTGCCAAGTTCCAACTGTGTAAAAGTGGAGGTTAGGAGTCTGGGGGGAGGCACACAGACTTGAGGTGGGAGCCATTAGTCAGTACTGTAAGGCTGCCTGTGGGAGAAGAGTTTTGGGTGGAGTCTTGAAGGAAGTGAGGAAAAGATTTGAATTAATATACATAAAGCTTGTGCCTGAAGGAGACGGAAAGCAGCTGGAGGGCAAGGATGTAACTTCTCTTTCTGACGTATTCCCTGAAACCCCTGTTACTCCGCAGCAGTATTTACCAAGAGCCTGAACGATGGGCCTTGGGCGCCATGTTGTTAAACCAATGAAAGGTTGGCCTTCCGCTCTGCCACCAGCCACAGCGCAGAAGGGACACAGATGTCACAGGCACCTGTCCACCTGTCCCTTTGTCTTCTGATGTCCTCTCCCTTTGGAGATCCTTCTCCCTCCAACATTGCTCACAAAACAATCTCCGCGTCTGAGAAGGAACAAATATCCAGCAAGCTCCTGCAGCTGGCTTCAGTGGAAGGGGAGAGTCTGTTGAATGCCACTGGAAATGTGAGGATCTCTTGTGACAGTGAAGTCTCAGGAGAAAACTAGTAGTTAAATTGCTAAGTTCTTTGCATCTGAAGCTCTTTTCACTTACAGTGCAGATAAGTGCCTGATCTTGTAGTATCGTGTTTCTGACGTCTTTGTTCTGGCTTTATTTTTTTTTCAAAATGCCATTTTCATTTGTTATTAGAGTTCAGAACATGTCAAAGAGCTTCTCTGAGCTGTAGGTGGTTTTACAGAGCACATGGAGAATGAAAAGTAAATGTCATCCTGGAAGCAGTCCACTACGAATAGGGAGGAGTCAGATTACTTTCCAGTCTTGGCTGCATTTGAACATGAAACAGGAAAGAGAGAACTGAGGCAATGAGTCACCTCACTTGGGCCCAAGGCACCATTTACCTTGTATATGGAGAGAAATTGAAGCAAAAGTTTTTTTACTGTTTTCTGTCATGGTTCTTGTCCAATTCAGTACATCTTAAATGATGGTTCGTGGAATGATGACATGACCGAAAAACCCAGCTAGTCTCAGCCTTGCTTGTTCCTCCCTAATTCCTTTATCTAAATCCTCATTAAAACCTGTGGAAATGCTAGCACCAATTTTAACAAGTTATCAACTAGGTGATTAGTGGTTTTTATTGGTTACTCTTGACAGAATAATGGAATCCTGGCATTCTGAAATTGAAAAGTAAATTAAGAGTTTGTGCCAAATCCCCAATTATAGACACTGTCATGCTGAAAATACTAATGCTGCCCCAAACCACCAACACATCATGTACAAGTGAGTCCAATAGATTATCACTGATTTCCTGTATTATATATTTTAAGAGACTGGCATCACTAAGTTGCTACACTTCTTGGTCAAAGATGCACAAACCTTTGCAAAACATTCAGTTGATGCAATGGTTAGCTAGAGTGAGTCTAGGAACTGTTTTCTAAGGATCCTACTCACTCAATTCAATACCAGATAGACTTTGATTCATTCTTGTTCAGGGTTCCCTAGGCCAATTTAGTTTGGATATACATCATTTGAAATAGGCTTCCACTACTGCCATCATCATGTATATACATAAATCAAAGCAATACCCCAAAAGGGATATATATGGTGGACCAAGAGCAACTCAGAAAGATGGCAGCAATGACTAGGAAATGAAACAGTGGTTGTATTTCAGGGACTCTCCCCGGCAGATGGTAAAATGATCATGGCTTCTAAAGTTCCACCTGATAGGTTGATGGATCCTTATGTCTGATCTGACATCATGGTCCACACTGCCCTCTTGTTATCTGCCAAGTTCATCGGGGAGAAGTCAAAGAGGGTGCTACCAATAGGATAACTTGTCAGGAATCATAGCAAACTGCTAGTAAACTACCTTCCATTGCACCTCTTCCACACAAAAAGGGCTAGAGATTACTGCTCTATTTACATATTTAAGAAATACAATTCACATTTCATTCTGGTACATGCTAATTTTGAGCATTTTTTTTCATATTGTAGATAATATAAAGGAGGCATCTAATCACAGCCCTGCTTAATATTCATAATCAATACTTACTAAACACCTATCAAATACCAGGCATTGTTCTAGAGACCTCAAAATAAATCTTCAAAGCACATTTGATTGACATAGTTTTATATGCAAAGAAACCAAGTCTAAGAAAATTTAAGTAATTTGCACAGATACACAGTAATAAAACTGAGTCTGGACCCTACTCCAAAAGCCATGATTTTTCTGCACCACCTGGTCAACCCAATTAGAAACATTATAGAAGCCATACAGTTTTTCAGTCCTTCTCACACTTTGCTTTAGGATTAAAAGCATTGGTTATGCTTTGTAAAAGTGTAGTGTTCCATATTCCAATTATATTTAATAAATATTGAGCACTTAGCATAATGGGTTTGTGTGTAAGTCAATAAAATATGGTTCTTAGCTTTAAGAACTTATAATCTAAGGGTAGATATGTATACATGTGAAACTTCTATTTATTTTGAACTCCAATTATGTGTCAGGAGTTATGCTAGGTGCATTATAAACTTTATCTTGCTTTATTATTTAATCCTTAAGAGAGCCTTATAAGGTATAAATATTTTTGCCAAAATGTAAATCATAAAGAAAGATCTACGAGGCCTTTGTTCCAACGAGGTAAAGGAAGGAAGGCTTTATGAAAAAGGTGAATGGCATTTCAGCAGAGCCCTAGAGAATGAATAGGATTTTAATAGAAGAGCTGGAAGAAAAGTTCCTTGGAGAGACCCTTCCAGCTGTGTGAAAAGTAGGAACACATTAATGGAGGCAGAAAGGTAGAGGGTGCTTTCAAGTGAGAGCAGCTAGTTTGGGTTGGATAATGCAAATTAAGGCCATGGCATGGGTCAGGGGTAGCTATAGACAGTGAGTCTAAATAGTTAGTGATAACCGGTCATGCGGGCCATGTCTGGCATGCCTGAGGAGATTGGGCATCCTAGGAAATGAGAAGCTACTCAAGATTTCTGAGTAAGAGAATGACCGATCAGATGTGATTTGATTTAGAAAAAAATGTAGCCTTAGAAGCCTCTGTCTATCATGACCAATTAATTAGAATCATTTGTTATAATAATATAATAAAACATTAGTTTTAAAATAGGCATTTATAATACAGGAGATCAGCAATTTATGAGATGATTTTTATACTTTCCTAATGCCAGGAGCTGGTAATCAACACATGCTTTGATGAACTTGAAAGTGAAAAGATTCACCTCCTTCTAGCAATCTGGTCTAAATATTAGCAGCCTGAGAACTTTCACTTTAATTTGATGAACTTGCATTGAAATTGTTGTACCGTTATTCCAGTGCGTGAGTCTCTTGTCTCAAATAGATGTAGACTTCTGGAAGAGATGGACCCCATTTTTGCTTTCTTCACTGTCTCTCATAGCACTGGAGAAGCCACTGTCACTCAGTGAATGCTTGTTGAATGAATGAAGAATTGGATGGGTAACTCCTAGGTCAGCTGTAAATTCCTCTTTCAGCATCGGGGTGAGTGACTAGCTCAGGGTGACAGCGAGAAGGGCTGTGACACTTCCAAAGAACCAGTTCTCTCTCCTCTCTCTTTTAAGATTTTATTTACTTATTTGTCAGAAAGAGAGAGAGAGCACAAGCAGGGGGAGCTGCAGGCAGAGGGAGAAGCAGACTCCCCGCTGAGCAGGGAGCCCAATGCGGGGCTCGATCCCAGGACCCTGGATCATGACCTGAGCTGAAGGCAGACGCTTAACCGACTGAGCCACCCAGGCATCCCAAACCAGTTCTCTCTCAATTGCCAAATATATCAATTCCATCCAGATCAGTGCATTCCACGCCCAGAAATTCTAATTCAACTAAATCTGGGCTCCTGGAGGAGGTTGAACTGGATGAGGTTCTTCTAGTGTAGGAGTCAGCCAATTGGACCACAGGCCAAATCCAGCCCACCGCCTTCTTTTGTATGACCCTCCAATCTAAGAACGGCTTACACATTTGTAAATGGTTGGAAAAAAAATAAAAAGAATAGTAATATTTTGTGACATGTGAAAATTATGTGAGATAAGATTTTAGCATCCAGAAATAAAATTTTTCTGGGACAGAGCCACGCTTACTGATCCACGTATTGTCCATAGGTACTTCCGCACTACAGTGGCCAAGACGAGTAGTTGCCAAAGAGACCACCTGACCTGCAAAGCCTAAAATATTTACTACCTGGCTCTTTACACAAAAAGTTTGCTGACCACCGCTTGAGTGTGTCTTTCTGGCCCTCAGTCCATTTATATGAGTTTTTTCCTTTAGTGTGCAAGTGGAAAATGAATTTAAGTTCAAGAAAGCAAGAAAGCTTTAGCTTTGCCTCCAGATGTTATTTTTTTCCTTCTCTTGAGAATCTTGAATGTTCTATATCTAGATTCTGAAAGCTAAAGAATAGTGAGGTAGAATCTTTTCTCCATGACCATATCCCTTTCCTATAGGGATCCCGAAAGTATGGTTTTCCCTTTAGGTTAGAGAGCTGCATTCTTTTTCTGGGCACACTCCCTTTTTAAAAAGTTTACACGCAGGCTGTCAGCTCCTCGGAATGATGCCAAATGAGTGTCGTAGGATCCCATTTAAAATTCTCTTCCAGTTTGGTTCTCTGCCCATGTCTCATCCAGGTAGTTTTCCTCAGAAAGGCTCAGGGATAGTGGAATAACCTTGACTGTGAACAATACATTTAGCTTCCCTATCTGATGTGTTCACATCACCCTCACTTACAATCGCCTTTTGTGCCTGCAGCTTTGTTTGTGCTTTGCAGCATTATATAGCTTTCTTGGGTTTAAAGGTCTTTGGGCATAGCAAGAGGACCTGTCTTTTGTAGACTGAAGCTATTCTGAAATGGCAGGGAGGCAACAGGATGCAAAGTGAAAACGACTCTCACCTCATCACGTCTTTTATTCCCACCTGGGCAGAATGTGATCTGGCTTCCACCCCCTTCATCCCAATGGACCATATTCTCAATAAGGTCACTGATCACCTCTTAACTGCTAAATTCAAGGGACACTTCTCAGTCTTCATCCCCATGGCTGTTCTGAACTGTTCGACACATTGGCCATGCTTCTCTATTTCAAACTCTCCCTCTTTGGATCCCAGAATGAAGCTTTGTCCTGATGTTGCTTCTCTTCTCTGAAAGCTCCTCATATCTG